TTTTCTTATTTTGTACGATATCATTTCAGATTAAATATGTATAATACTATATAGTCGGTAATAAGTTTTTAAATCTGATCAAAGCACGAAAATGGACAAAGCACAAAATGCGTATTTACAAAAATGGACATAGCTCAAAATGTGTTTTTGCAGTATTAAGCAATGATCCCAGAATTTTAACGCCGTATCTAATTCTATAACGTAGTTCTATGATTTTGTGGGAGAGGTTTTAAAGTTTTTAGTTTTAATATCCATAAATCATCAACACAAGTTAAATACTAAATCTTTTGAAAATAAACCATTGCTTATAAACGCAATTATTGAATTACTTTAAATAACTCATATTTATAATACAGTCAAGATAAATAAAACACATTAACTTTTGAAGTAATAATCAGATTTTAACAGCCTTAATGATTAGGAGAACTAACTTTAAACGAAGTTGGGCAAAAATGTAATTGATTACATTAATCAAAGAAACAATAAAGGGTTCTANATTTGTCATGTGACATTTTTAGCAGCAATCATTGGTCGATTTTCTAACGTTGCCATTCCGGGAGTTGCAATGAGGCTTTTTTTTGGTGCCGTGTAAGAGAAATATATATATAGATTTTATATCTGTCTTTGAATAACCAACCCAATTTTGAGCTTGCGACTACTGGTGTTCAACAGCCTTGTAATTTTGAACCCAATCAGGAAGACTAGGGAACTCCTGGATCACGTTTTGGGAGAAATTTGCCTTCGAGGGGAACTTTTTGATTGAGCTGCACCCGCATTTGCGTTATATGGCTAGGAAAAAAGCAAAAATCTCCCATGATTACCGTTAACGACAAGAGTATTCTAACCTATGATCGATCTACCACGAAGTATACTTTAAGTCAGCCCTGTGGTCGGTGCGAACTGGGCGCGGAATTCGTATCGACCAGCCATCGCTGGGATTCGATCCTGGTTCACCTCATTGGATAGCGAACGCTCTATCCCCTGAGTCATCAGGGCTCCACAGTAATCGATTACTCGTAATCGTGATTACAATCTATCATAATTTTGAATAGAATTGTAATCGTGATGACAATAATCAGTTACAGCAATCAACTGCTTGTAATCATAACTACAATTTCTCAAAATTTTGATTACATGCAGCGTGATTACAAGTACAAGAAATATAAGATTACAAGTAAATATAAATGTATACTGTACATATGATTACATTATAAAACACAAATAGGGTATTATATAATGCAATATTTTGTTCGCATTTGCATGCAACATATATAAGTGTGTATCTAATCAAAATGTATAACATTTATTCACCTAAAATATATGTATGTACAGGGAAGGGTGGGGTAAAACCGCGAGCTGTGGTTAGAGCAGGTACCTCGATTATGTCCTGGTTTCATCGGGCTAACTCTAATTTACTCTTTACTAGTTAAGAAGAAGGACCTACTATCGTGGCGAGCTATTGTTGATTAATTCACGGCGTCTGTGTAGATATTTTTGATTTAAATTCTCTAATGTTCTTTTATTTTTAAGCTTTCTTGATTTATCAGCCATTGCATGTATAAAAATTATTTTTAGTCGAGATTATTATACTAGAGATTCATATCCTAACAAACAATAAGGTTTAAGTCCGATAGTAGCACCTATTCGATTCTAGTGATTGAGATCGCTTATTTGAATCCAGTGATTAGATCATTGATCAGAATCTGGTAATTCAGATCACTTGTCCGAATTAAGTGGTTTGGATCACTTATTTAATTCATGTAAACGGATCTCTGATTTGAATCAAGTTATTTTGCACACTGATTTTAATCCAGTGATTTGGATCTCTGATTTGTATCGGATGATTCCGGTCTCTGATTCAAGCCAAGTGATTCTGATCAGTGATTCGAATCAAGTTGTTTGAAATCAATGATTCAAAATAGAAAATTCGGAACGGTGAATCAGATTAGTAGTTCGAGTCAAGTTGTTCGGATCAGTGAGTCAAATCTAGTGATTAAAATGCAGTGATTCAAATCAGTGTTTAGAATAAAGTGATTCAAATCACTAAACGAATATATTGGTTCAGATCACTGATTCCAGTCAGGCCATAGAGTTCGCTTTTTAGAATAGAGTAATTTGGATCATTTTTTCGAATTATGTGGTTAGGTTAAGTCATTCGAACCAATTGATTTGAATCAGTGATTCAAAACATAAAATTTGGATAAGCGATTCGAATCACGGTGTTCAGATCAGTGATTTATATCACTGATTCAAATCAAGTGATTCAAATCATAATACGAATTAAGTTATTCAAATCACTGGTTCAGATCATTGATTCAATTATGTGATTTGAATCGTGATTCAGATGAATGATTATGATGAGTAATTATGAGATTAGGATCAGAGATTCAAATTTAGTGATTCATATCAGTGAAATTTATTGAAATTTTTGATCAGATTTAAATCTGAATGCTGTTTTTATGCTCTTAACTTGCTGTGGGGGATTTTTTTACATTTGCAAAAAAGCTTTCTATTTCGAGGAACTGTTATAAAAAATCACTTAACAATTATTTATTTATCTAACCATCGTCGACCAAAACTTAGTTGGCTGTTCAACGAGTATTAATGTTCAACTCCGTAGCCTTGTAATTTTTAATCTAACCCTGAAAACAAAGAAAGAACTGTTTAAGACAAACTAATCTTCGTGGAATATTTTCTGATTGAACTAACTCCCATTTGCGTTACATGGAGAAACTTCGAAAACCGACCATGATTAGCCTGATAGCTGTAAAATTCAAGCTTATAACCAATCTACCACGAATGATTTTTAAATTCTGTCGTCAGTGCAAGCCTGGAGTTGAATTCGTATCAACCAGCTATCACCGGAATTCGAACCTGGATTACCTCATTGAAAGGTGAGAACTCTATTTACTAATTTTGATACAACAAATTTGTTGTAGTTGTTACAGTTAATTTACGTCGCACTAGAGCTGCACGATGGGCTATTGGCGACGGTTTGGGAAACACCCCAGAGAATGATCCGAAGACATACCATCACAATTTTGATCCTCTGCAGAGGGGATGGCATCCCCGCTTCGGTAGCCCGACGATCTGCGAAGTCTAGCACTTTACGGTAGAACAGTTTAACGAGGACCAATACCGCACACCCTCGGTCCCTACGCAGACTGATCCAAGTGGTCACCCACCCGCACACTGACCGTAGCTAGTGATGCTTGATTTCGGTGATCTGCTATGATCAGTCCACTGAGGGACTGATACAACAAATAATCAAACAACTTGCTTATAATGCAGGACCATTATAAACAAGTAGAAAAATCCATTTTTCCATGAAAACAATATTTAAACTATATATATTACTTAACTATTTCATTAGTTATATTTAATTTTCTCTTGTTGCTATAATTTCATATACATAATTAGTTCTCTAAATTTTTTGTAGACCTATTATTTTAGCTGTCAATTTTAGATTCAATCAATATCATAGATATTTTCTGTTTTTTCATAATCTGACACCCCCCCTTTGAAAAAAAAACCTCTGGGTGCCCCCCCAGCTTGAACCCAATATCTTTTTATCGGTACTTGAACCAACTACCTTTTCTTCATTATTCTAACCCTCACTGATTTCAGCAGTACTCGAACTCACTCTTTTTTTATCAATACACAAACCCTTTCGACAGGAAGAAGCAAATGATTTATGCAAATACACTTTACACATCAATTCATTTTTCAGATAAAAGTGAGCCTGTTGGTCAGAATTCTTATTGTCACGATTCGATATGTTTCTAAACATGTCAATCTTTGCTTTTCTAGTGAAATGTTACATTGAAAGCGATAGTAATGAACGACGTACTTTGCAAAGGTATCGTTCAGTCAGATGAATACACTGAGGGTCCATGACACCACAGGGATTGAGGAAAATGATGAAAAAGCCACGGGAATTTTTTATATCTGAAGCACCTAAAAGAGGTAGGCAACTTGCTTCTGTGAAAACCGAGGAGGTAGGTGCAGTAGCAATAGACAGCACACACGATAAATGCAGCAAAACCTTCTATCGCACGTCAAATGGACATACCATGGAGTACGGATTAGATAATTTTCCGTAAAATGCTGCAGTTCTCAAAATCAAACATGTTTAAAAGCTTCAAAGTAACGATCCTGCTGCTAGTCAATCTTTTTCATTGGATTTCCTTGCAAAGACATTGACTATGGAACATCATGTGAACAATGAGATTCAATTTCTCAAACCTAATTACTTTATAAATTTCAAGAAATTCAATTTTTGGTATCCGTTAAAAAAAAATTATGATAACTCTTTTTTTCCCTTTTTTATTTTGGTGCAAAGCTGTTATATAATTAATCTTCGTCTATCCCCTCAATAACTTATTTCTTTAAACCGATAGAAATTGACACAGTCTAGAACAAGGTATATTATATCCCATAACATATAAATACTAATCTAGTGCTATAAGTGCCACAACCAAAGATTCTCCCTACTGAAGGCACTTCTTTAGAAGAAGCAACACTTTTAGTTCATTTTTTAAAAGAGCTTGAGGAGCTATATTGGATAAAGAGGAAAAAAACTTTTAAAGCTTTCTTTTCCAAAGTAAAAAAAAAAAAAAANATAATTTTTGGATATATATATATGTTAGAACTCTTAAAAAGCATTATGTCCAACTTTCGTTTTAAGAAGTTAAGGCTTTCAGTTACTCGTGTATATATTTTTTTTCAGGGGCACAAATTTATGCATTATTTGTTAAACCTTCAAACAACATATTTAGAAAATTGGAAAAGGTATTTTAATAGAACATTTAGACATGCAAAAGAAACATTCAACTTGTTGTTCTAAAAATTAGACATAGTGCCTTTTATCCCTGCTATACAAGAATGATTAAGATTCTTACATCACAACCGAAACAGGTAATAAATTATAAGTGGGAACACATTTTTTAACAATCAAAAAAGAAACTTGTTAAGTTGTAAACACATTAAATTAGACATAATCAAACATCACAATTTTTTTATTTCATAATAATAACATATATAGGGAAATGTCCCACATCCGGAATCGTCGGGACTTCAGCAAGTCTGGAATATAGATTTTTCCGGATAATAGATCTTTAAGGTAAACAAACATCAAAACATCCTTATTCAATAAAAAATAACTAATAATCTATAATTATTGCCTATTTCAATTAACAACGAATAAATCCATGTGGTTTGCGGCATTGCGCTATTTTCGCTAATTTCCACATGGTTCTTAAAATCTCGATATTTTAATATGCCATTATAATATACCAAAAATCATTTCTCAACCCACTCGATTAGCGCTGAAATTGTGTGATTCTCGGCAGTAATGTTCCTTTTATGTGAGACGTAAGAAAAAAGACACACGTTTTTTTCCATGCAGTAGTAAAATATGAGATTTCATTTCCGTGATAAAAAATTTTTTTCATATTGTAGCAGAAATCTGATTAAAATCAAACAAAAATCAGAAGATGCAGAAAAGTGGAGGATTCTCATTCCAGCATACTTTTTAAAAAAAACACAAATCGCAAGTGTAAGAAATAAAAATAAAAATTTTGAAAAGGGAAGAGTTTCGTTTATTTTGATATTTAAAAAGTGTCCGGAAAAAGAGACCCTTCTGGTAAACGGACATCCGGATATGGGACTTTGTACTGTATATAACTTTTACACAAAAAATCAAACTGATTTTCATACAATAATAAATTTTTATACAATAATTTTATACAGCAAAAAAAAGCTCCCCATACAAGGATATTCAACAGTTCAATAAGGTAAATGACCAAAACAAACTTAATTTTAAATCATAAATTGATGCAATAATACACATTTCCCTGGAGTGTATTATCTGTTTATACTTAGTACAAATTTTCTTATTATTTTACATTTAAAAAATGAATATTCTTTTGTACCATTTATTGATGCAATGAAATAATGTCACAAATTTGATGCAAGGGGAATTACCATTGTTAAGGATGCAAAATTGAAGAGACACTTTCCCTACAAGATTTAGTATCGATATCCAGATCTTGAGCTTCCATAATCATCATACCTCCGATGTGTTGAATTAAATTGATTATTTACAGGTTGTGGCAATACTAACTGGCGAGAAAAGAAAGGTTGTTGATTAAATACAGGATATGCTTGAGGGCTGTTATAACTGTTAGGCTGTTGATATCGATTGTCATTCTGTGGATAATACCCATGGTTGTTATGTTGCATTTCCCTTGCCTTTGAATATTGCTGAAGTTTCTGTAAATATGGATTAGCTTCAACTGAACCAGATCTGGCATCTAACCGCAAAGTCCTGCCATATAATGATATACCACTCATAAGTGCAACAGCATACTGAACAGAAACTGGATGCTTGAAAGCTATGAAGGCATAATTTCGTGGCCGTCCGTCTTTTTCTTTGGGAATAGTTACATTTTCCAAGGGACCAGCCTAAAAAGGAAAAAATATACATATCTCATCAAATAATTACATGAGAGACACTTAGCAATCAAGATAGATAGAAGGCAATTTATAATAAAATTAATTAAAAATAAATCAATAAATTTAGAACTGTTGGTACGGTAGAATCGATAACTGAAGGATAGGCCAAGCTTAAAGCTTCAGATTTAACAATGAATATTATTTTTCAATAGTATAATATATAAAATAGTATGATAAATAAAATAGTAATAACATAATTAGTTACTAACAGTCTATTTTTTCAACATAAAATCTCATAAGTAATTTTTTTTTCCCTTTAAGTATCACAACTTGTAAAACTTAAGTATTACCCACACAGAGCCAAGAGCAAAAAAATTAATTAAATAAATATGTAAATGTAATAAATTAAGAAATTCTTTGAGGAACTGGTACTGGCTTCCTCAATTTTTCTTATTGTCATAATATCCCTTTTCATAAATGAAGTTTCAGCCTATTTCTTCAGTTAAACTTGAAGTTAAAATAAAGTTTAGTTAACTTATACCAATCAACTAAAGAAAACAGTACAATAACGCTAGAAAAGAAAGTGTTTGGTTTTCGTTAAAAAACAGAAAGAGTTAAAGAGTTCTAGAAAAAATTAAAAGGTGCAAAATATTAAAAAAAAAAAAGCCTAGACTTCAAAAAAAAAAAAAAAAAAANAAAAAAAAAAAAAAAAAAATTAGATTTTACTAGCAAAACTTTTGGTACTTTTAAGTTAGATGGATACAAATAAATTCAATTATTTTTCCTATTATTATTACCCATTTTTAAAATTTTGATAATGTATTCTTTATTTTATGTTAAAAAAAAAATATTACCAAAAATAAAATTTACTTGTACCACCCAACCAAAAAGAACCAAAATTTTATTTATGGTAAAACAAATAAATTTTTTTAAACATAAATGAAGTCTTATATTGAGCAAAATATTTTTTAAATGATGCTTCTTTTATTCAAAATATTTACTGATAAAGAAAGCTTTGAACAAAAAATATTCCGCCTAACTTGTAAATAACAATAATAATATTATTAATAAATAAATATGAATAATTCACTTTTATATTAATTGAATTTTTGATAACTCTCTGAATTTTGCACTCTCTATACAGCTTTAAGCTATTGAAGTTTAGTTACAGGGTTTAATCTGAGATCAAAAGCTCTTCAACAAAAAAGTGAAGATTAAAAAGTAAAAATCTTAAGCAAAATGCTAGTATGCCATATGGTTTGTAACTGGGATTTTGTTTACCATTTGAGACAACTTGATCTGTTTCATTTACATACAAATTTTAAAATTTCACTAAAAAACAATATTTTTTGCAGATGAAAAATTATAAGTTTCCCACTTTCTTCATGCTAACTTCATTAATTTTTCATGCTTGATATACAAATCCTCAATAAATTGTCATTGTTTTTTTACCAATATATAAAAACTCAAATTCATGAGATTTCTAGATCCTATCCACACATCTAAAATTTGGAGCAGGAATGCGATTCTTTCAAGTCTATAATGTATAATACTAAAATGTTCTGGAAATAGAAACCTCTGGTTAACTGGTGGTTATATTTAAATTTTTATTCCAAATATTCATGTTCTTTTTTTCTTAATATAACTGTGATTCAGGCTAATTGCCAAACCGACTAATTAGAAAATTCGTATAAAAAATCAAATTTCCCCTGTTTAATTCTAGATAGGTGGGTGTTTCAGCCTAAACACAAAAAATCCTAGATTTTGAGTTTTTTTTTCATGCGCTATTTACAAGGATAAAAAAAAACTTAACTTTTTACTTTTTTTAACCATATGTTTAATGTTTTTTTATTATTATTACCTATTATTAACATGAAATACTTAGTCACATTCAGGATAATGGCTTAAAAACTATTTCATTTTTAAGATATTGTATTTATACATAAAACAGATGAGATGCCTTTTTATTATCAATTTCATACATAGGTAAAAATTAAAAATCAAGTACCCCTCTCTTTTTAACAGTTTTCTGGAGGCCAGATGTTGTTACTAATAAGTAATATATTTTAATTTCTTTTTCACAGATCTTTTCTTTTAAAAAATAAAGTATTTAATATTGAGGCTAATCCATAAAACACAATTGTAATTTTTTTTTACAAATATCATAAACACAATACGAGTTTCAGCAAAATTAAACAAAATTTGTAGCCAATCAATGAGGCACCTAATTCTAGTCTCTAACCCATACACAATATACTTTTAAAATGAGAAATCGTACAGTTTGAATAATAGAAATAAAGCACTCGGTCAAAATCAAAAGCTTGACTTAATACCATCTAATAAACAAAATTAGCTCAAGACATAAGATTTGTTGGCAGTGGTAATTTATTTTCAGGTTAAAGTAGATCTTTGATAAAGATAATAGAGCTTTGGTCTCAAGAAACTAGATTTTACCTTGCAGTCGATTATTTCCGTATCGTGATCTGTGGCAGAATAATCGCCAAGTCTTGGAAACTTCCGGGCAGTGGCCCGCGAGAAAGTAAAAAAAACATCATAGAAAGGGACTAACTCGAAAGGTATAACTCATAGCAAACATCCACAGGGTGCATAGCCAAATTATTCAACAAAAAATAAGCACCTTTTAAGCAATTTTCAAGCACTCGAAAAGTATTTTTAAGCACTTTAAAAAGTACATAATAATTAGGCAGGGTAGGAAGGTTTTTGACAATTGACCATTTTTTTTCCTTGTTTTAACTGTCATATCAAAAAAACAAACCTTTTGGCATTGTTTTTGAAATGGCGTTTTCATACGCTACAGACTGACAATATGCTGAAATAGATTAGGGTCGAATTAATTGTGAAAATGTTGAATAGAACAATGTGAACTGTGTCTTTTAACAAAATTTGTAGCGAAAATCAACATGGTAAAGAAAAAATCTCATTTTGACAAAGGGAAAATTAAGTTCTTTTTAAAAACACCCAATGAAAAAAGCAACTTTAAGGGCTTTCAAAAAACAAAAATCGAAACTAAGCACCTTAAAGCACTTTTTAAAAACTCAACACACCTTGATCTACATGTTTTGTTTTTTTTTTAAATTGGCAAGTTAAAAATCTATTTGGCACCTTGGTGATCGTAATTTGAGCAACAGATCACAATAAGGAAATATCCCCAAAAATCAATTAGGCATCTTGGCGATTGTAATTGGGTGGCAGATCAAGATCCAGAAATATTCCCCTTGATAACACCAACCTAACTAGATCTACTCCACAAAATGAACAAACCTTTCAACCTCACTAAGGGATCATCTCCTGTTTGTCAGATAGTCATTTCAAACCTAAACACATAATCCATAAGTTGGCATACAAAATGCGCATTAAAAATATGTATCTTAAAATACCTTCAACATTGTTACTACTACAGTAAGCTAAAAAATAATCAAAATATCATTCCAAGTAGTGCCATGTAAATAAGGACAGTCTGAGCCATAGGATAAATTGTTTCATACATATTCTGGATTTTTAATAAATCAAAATATATTATTTATTCTTAATACTAATCACAACTAAACAAAATTTCATGTAGTACTTTAAAATAGATAAAAATGCATAATGTTTAATAAAATTTCTACCTGAAGAAAAAGTTCATACAAAATATCTTCAGTCACTTTCTCCGACAAATTCCCACAGAAAAGTGTACGTTCTTTGTCTTCCATGATAAATATTTGTGAACACGAAAAACAAACTTAACGAAACTAGTAAGTAACGACTAAGCAAATAAACTTTCAGAGACAACAAATAAACTAAGAGTTTGCCAAATTGTAGAACTATTCAATTTTTAGCAATCTTGAATAGGGATACTCAAATGATAATATTTTGAAAAAAAAGTAGATGTTTTAATTCTTATGAAGAATAAAATAAATTTTTATACAATTTTTTTAAATGAAAATAGGACATATACCAAAAAATCAGCGAGTAAGAAGGGTGCAAAAAATGTGCAAAAAACCTCTGTGCAAAAAATGGATAAAATTTTCACAACAATCACAAATAACGCATTGCCATACCGAGTTTAAATGTTGAAAAAATAATTACTTGAAAGGAAAATTAGATTCGATTAATGCATTGTGCTAGTGATAAAACAAAATAATATCTCAAAAATATTTTAAGTATTGATTGTACTTATTATTACTGAAACTGACTCTTTTAAGAATAAAATGATTAATTGAGAAAAATTATCGCTTGCAGTTTCTTTTTCTATCGTTAATTGTAATCGTTATCGATATTGGTTAAAAAAATTGGATTTCTGGTTCATTGAATTAGTTTCGGTATCTTAAATATTTTATTTCATTTTTATGTAATCATGGTTAAATTCGATTTTTGAAAATGAATTCTAATCTAAATTTAAGACATATGAATGGGGGAAGTAATATTGAAGAGGCCGGAAATGGAAGTGGTGATAAATTCAAGCCTGGCATGGAACCGGTAAAAGAAGATTATACGAAGAAAGAAGATTATCCGTCAGAATTATTAAATTTCGATGTAATGCCGAAACATTTACAATTCAATCCGTTTGTATTCACGGGTTATAGACCGCAAATGGACTCTTGGGAGTGCATTAGAAGCCTTACTTATTTTCACAATGAAACTCTCAACATTCTCACTCATGGTAAGTATCCTGGTTGAAAGATCTAGTGATGCATTTTCATAATAAAAAAAAAACTGATTTAGTCAATCTACTAGCATCATAAATTTTTTTTAAATCAATAATTGAAAAATACATATTTTTAGTTGGTAAATCGAACATTTCATTCGTTTGTATATGATGGAAAGAACTACGGCTGTTGCATTTTGTATAATGTTTTGAATTAATGACAGCTCTCAGGGAAATACAGATATTGTGTAATTTTTCTTTGATATATATTAATGTATTTGAAAAAATAGATACTTTTATGATACTTGATTTTTACAGTATTTAAATTTAAAAGAGAAACTTATAAACTATGACTCATTACTTAAATAAAACGAAGGGGAGATTTCCGTATCGTGATCTGTGGCAAAATTAGCGCCAAGTCTTGGAAACTTTAGGGCGGTGGCCTGCGAGAAACTAAAAAAAAACCAAAGGGACCAAATCGAAAGGTATAACTCGTAGCCACCCTGTGCAACCATTTACTTGTTTTCTTGTTTTTTAAAAAATTTGCAAGTTTAAAATCTATTTGGCACCTTAGCGATTGTAGTTAGTGCGACAGATCACGATACGGAAATATCCCCTCTTTGCTTACTGAATCAGATAAAATAGAAATTTCAGTTTTGTAATGCATCTGTACCTTTTTGTTTGGTAAATTTTACGCACCAAACACTTATCTTTTTAATATTCCATAAATAAAGAAATACTGCAAATCTATATCTAGCCATTACCAAATGGAATAATATGGAAGCATGCAATAGAAAAATTATTGCGATCTAAATTAAACCTGCTTATAATTTTAAATTTGCCACAATTGTACTTTCATATTACTGTGTTTACTTTATGTAATTTTTTAATTTTAATATAACTGTCTGTGAATCTTTTATTTTGCAAAGACAGTGTACCTCAAGTTTTTTCATTTCATTTTATGGCTGATGCAGTTGCATTATTTTTTTCCTAATTATTAATTAATATTAATTTTTTTAATCTGGTAATTTACAATTTAACTAAGTCTTAATAGTTCTCTATTTTTAAACAATACTTTAAAGCAAATTCTGTTAAATATTTAACTTAGATAAAATATCAATGGAAAAAAAATTTACATTTGCACCATGACAACAAGAGGTATTTTATGAAGAAACATAAAACTTGGAATGAGATTAGAGTTTGGCAAAGCAAGCAACCTTAAAGCACAAAAATCACTTCTGAGACCAAACCATATATCAGAATTAAATATATTTTGTCTCAAATTGATCTTGAAGATACATTCAGTAATAAAACTGAAAATAATAAACTTTGACATAAATTAGACATTTGACTTTAAAAAACAAACTGGTGACTTGTTTCAATATTCATTCTTTTTATAATTTTTTTTTTTTTTAAATTTCAGGTTTACCTCTACTATATGCTATCTGGAGCCTGCCAGGTTTATTGCCTTGGAATGAAATGCCACTGCCACTATTACCTTATTTCCATGCAGCAGCAACTGTATGTCCGTGGTTGGGAAGTTCCATATATCATCTATTTATGAATCATTATTCAGGCCGTGGAACTTATGCACGTCTTTTACAGTGGGATGTTGCTGGTGTTTGGGTTACTCAAAGCTGTGGTAAGATAATAATGATATTTTTTTAAGATTGCAAAAGTTAACAATTTTTTTTCTTCTTAATTGGTTTGATATTCATATTATATATTTCATCTTCCTTAAAGTAAATCTATATTTAAAATTTCCCTACCCCCCCCCCAAAAAAAAATAAAAACTAATGATCTACATTGCATATACACTGGTGGACAAAATTAAGAGATGGAAGACATTTTCCCAAATATCTCAAAAAATACTAAATATAAATAAATGAGGGGTGATCAAAACAAAAATGAAAGTGATATTCACTGGCAAGACCTATTGCTAATAAATCCAATATAGTCTGAACTTAAGGATAAACGATGACAATAAAAGTGATGCTTGTACAGTGTGTGTTGCCTCTAGTATGGTGTATGATCACCCCTGACAGACGGACAGCATGCACAACAAGTATGCATGCTGTTAATAAGGGAGTTAAGAAGGACTTGTGGAAGACTCTCCCATTCTTCCACCAGAGCAATTTCCGCATCGCAATAGCTCTCCCAAGAGCATCCCAAGCATGTTCAATAGGATTCAGGTCAAGGGATTTGGCTGGCCAATCCATTCGTTGAATATCCTCGCTTTCCAAATATTCAGCAACCATGAGGGCCCTGTGTGGTCGCACATTGTCGTCCATAAAAATGAACTCAGGGCCAACAGCGCCCCTGAAAAGAGGCTCATAGGGCTCTAGGACCTCCTGCCTGTACCTCTGGGCATTCACGGAACCATTGTCAAACACATGGAGCGGTGTGTGGGTATCTTGCATGATCCCTGCCCAAACCATGAGTCCTCCACCAGCATAATGGTCCCTTTTAATAATGTTGCTGGGATGGTATCGGGTTCCAGGTTCCCTCCATATCAATAGCCGTCCAGAATCGGGTTGTAGACTGAATCTGGACACATCGGTGAAGAGAACATTAGCCCATTGAAGCTGTGTCCAATTCTGATGTTGTCTTAATTTTGTCCACCAGTGTATTTAAATATCATTTATATGAAGTTCTTTTAGCATCTATTTTTAAGGTACTAGTTAAGGAGTAAAATTTATGCATTTTTCACGCAATGAGGTATTGCTGATGTTTGGTTTAATCAAAGCAGTGATGAGATAGTAAAGATCTCAAGATTGCAAGTTTTAACAAATTTTTTGAACTTAAGTAGTTTGATGCTGATATGTAAAATTTCTTCTTTCCAAAAGTAATTCTAAATTTATAGTTACTTTTGTGGAACAAAATTGATTAACTCATTTTCGATAAGTTTAAAATCTAAAAAGTCCTAAAACCAAGAGATGTCAACAGAAACTATCACCAGAATATTAAAAATTAAATAAAACTGAAATATGATTGTAAATTTCTCAGTATATATATTTTTGTTTAGCTGCATATAAAATTTAACTAAAGTGTAAATTGTCACACAGACAGCTTTTACATAGATAAAATGCCTATAAATTGTATGTAAAATTACAAGTAGATATACAGTCGGCCCTCTATTTAATGAAGTCGCTGAATCCCGATAATAAGTTTGTTATAAGGAAAATTTGTTTAATAGAAAATCAACTTTTAAAATACTTAAATAATACAAAACAGGTTTTTAATTCATAAACACTAGACATATATAAAGTAGCAATTGATGGACCTTTATCTTGTAAACTAGTATCTACTATTTATTTCAAAAATCTGAACCGTAAATAAAATCTGTGTGGAAAGCAAGAATAGAGCAAAACATTATCTAGTGTTGCACTATCACGCTACATGCATTTTCAACTAAAAAAGAAGAAAAGAAAACTAAATTTATGTATCAAATTATAGGCATTACCACGTGCGTTCTTTAGTTTAATTGCTACTGATAAAATCTGTTAATTTGGACTGAGTTTCTCATTTAAAATACAAACAAAAAGAGAAAAGGATTTTACCACTTTCTCTAAAATAACTTTTAGAGAAAACAGTAAACCATTACAAAAAGCAGCGGCTTCAAAAATTAATTCACGTTTATTTCCCCCATAAAATGCGTTAACAAGTTTGAAATATTTTGGAAAATAGGAAAAGTGGATCTCAAAGAAAAGTTCGTTAAATAGAAAATTTACTTCGCTGTTTGGAAGTTATTTTACGAAGAAATTTCCAAAATGTACTTGGTTCCTCGGAAGAATTTATAAAATAGAGAAATTTGCAAAATGGAAGTTCGTTAAATAGAAGTTCGACTGTACTTAGTGGCAAAAAATGAACCATATAAATATATCAATACCAAATGCCAGATCCATTCAAAATAAATTCCTTAGAAAATAAGTGAACAGTTTTCTGCTTTTTTTTTTTTTTTTCATTTAAACAAAATATGTTTTCACTCTTATTCTCTGTCTCTTTTATTAAAAAAAAAAAATTTAAAAACTGATTTTAAATAAATATCTAGTTTTTAGACACAAAATCTATTTTTCATTCTTATGTGACAAGTTTACTAAAAATGTTAAACACTACTTCATTCTGATACTTTCCTGAAACCAGTTTGAAAATAAATTAATAGATTTGGGTTTAAAAATTAACGTAAAAATCAAATTGGCATTTAAGTTAATATATTTGCCATTATAATGATTGTTGAATCAGTGTTTTGACTACAACGCGAGAATCTCGCATATTTTTTTATATTCTCGCATTAAAAAATGATTAGCGCGAAAAATTCGCGCATTCTATTAAAAAATTTCAAAATTCGCGAATTTCTCGCATTTTGAAAAAAATTTCTCTTTTGCGCCATTTAGAATAAAATCCGTTTCACTTTTCTTCCTGGATCTTTTATTATTTTCAACATCTGCCCCATTATCTAGCTTCCCTATTTACCAGTATTGTTCAGAACCTTTAAGAACAACAGAACACCATCCTTCCGAACCACGGAACCTCTTTCAGAACGCATTTCTCTGCAACCACGTGTTTACCGTAGGTAAGGTTTCTTCATGTAAGACGTTAAAAGTTTTTGCTCGTTAATGTAAGATGGACAAATACCTTGTAAAGCCAATATCTTCTACTCCGAAACGGACAAATGAAAATGAAACAAATGTGGGTAGAAGCGATCAAAACGAAACAAATACGCATTTGAGCAACCTAATGAGAATAGCTGATGAAAAAGTAGATGTAGAACATTTTCCATATGATGATGCAGCAAAAATATTCAATGCTTTAAAAATTAGAAGATGTTAAAAATGCATCATAATTAAAGAAATTTTTTTTTTCAAGTCTCTTTGAGTTTTTTTTTTTTTAAATTTTTGAAATCTCACTTAACTTTTTGAAATCTCACCCTGTTTTTGAGAAAGGGTGAGAAATTCTTACCCATTTTTTTTCTGAGATGAAAACACTGGTTGAAAACATTAATAATTATTTTTGTTTTATTTGGTTCTTTACCTTGATTTAGCTCAAGCTTTAAGAAGGTAAAGAACCAAAGTACATCCTACTAATCCTACTAGTAAGTACATCCTACTAATCAAATTAACTAGTTTAAGAAAAGTAACAATTAAGTTTTTGATTAGTTGTGTTTTCATAAGTAATTTATAATTTTTACAGGATGAATATGAAATTAGTTTCTACATTAACTTATATTTTGTATTAAATTCTTTGTAGTAAATCATTATTTATGTTTTTATATTTACTTTTTAGGTGGTTTTTCCTCAATTTACATTGGGACCATGTGTTTACCATGGCCTTTGAGATTCCTTTTGCTCTTAATATACTTATCATTTGCGTTAAAAGCCCTGCATGCTGCAGTATTTGCTGTTGGACCATGGGAACGTCGAATAAGTTTTGCTGCTATGTTCATTATGCGGCTTTGTATCCTGTGTGTACGTTATACACCCTATGGTGGTGGACACCCTGAGGTAATGTATTTTAAATGTCCCAAAAATAAATTTGTTTAAAACATATGTTTAATTTCAACAAGATTTGTAAGTTATTACATTGCCTGTGTTTTTTTTGTTTTTTTTTTTTAAATTCTCAAGACCTATGCTGCACTTTTGAGTAACCAAATAAATCCATTTTGTATGTTCTTTTACTGCAACTAACTGTAGGATTTCGTATCTCAAATTTTTATATTTTTATTATTATTTTAATAGAATTATTATAATAATGTAATCAAATGTATATAAAATAAAACTTTAATATCTGCAGAGTAATGAAATACTGAAACTTTATTTTTAAAAATTATGCATATTTTATAAGTGTAAAAGATTAAATTTAAAAATGTGCATATTACATTAAATTTTGAGAATTATGCTTTTATATTTCTAAAAATTCCTCTTGATTCCATAACAAAGTCGCAAGTGTTTATCATAAATTTGTAAAAAAAAATTTATTATTATTAATTTTTAATCTGTATTTCTTGTAAATTATCTGTTTTAAATAGCAAATCATAAATAATTTAACTTTGCAGGAAATTTTGTAATAAATTACTCTGTATACAATAGTTTCTCATCCATAATAAAAAATGAGTGACTGGTGTTAATTCTCCAGAACTGCAAATAGAAGGTAGCATATGTTAAATTTTGTTCTGCATTGGTTTCTTGTGTCAATGTTTCTTCTACATTCACTATTTTAATTGAATCATCTGTTGTTTGGAATATTTGCATAATACACAACATTACTTTTTTGCTGAGTCACTTTTTTTGTCTATTTCACTAACATCTTTGGGCAGCAGTTGTGTTAATAGTTTCTAATAAAGTTCTTGAAATAACCAAGGCTATTTCTGTATTGTGAAAGTTGATTTATGCTTATCTTAATTTTTAGCTATCTCTTTTGTGTGGTCTAAGAACTTTCAATGTAGTTATTTTCGTTTACTTCAATGAATGGGATTCTTTCTATTCTATTTTTTGTATATTTTTTTCCAATTTGAAAACATTTTTCAATTTTCCTTACTTATTTTACATGTATGTATTAAAATAAACTCTAAAACTCAATGGCGCAACAGCCCATGAAGGGTCAAAGCCAACTGTGCTCATCTCAGTATTTTTTTACCTCGGGATCTGAGGTGCAGATGCAGATTTTCCAGTTAAATGGTCAGCTGAACACAGAACCATATGTGTTTAGTCCCCAAGCATGTTTGGTACTCATTTTATTCACCCACTGAAGGGATGAAAGGCTGAGTCAACCTTGCCCGGTCCCAGGATAGAACCCTGAACCTGTGACACAGATGTGTGAAGTGCTATACCATTTGTTCACCAAAAGTTAAAATGAAGTAATATTAAAATTCGTAATAAATTTAAGTTTGATGAAAATAGATACCTTTCGTAAATATTTATAAAGTTGATTCTTTTTTAACCTATTTTCGGCCAAAGGTGCGTAAGCGCACTATTTTAATAAATAAATTTTTACTAACACCGTGGTGAATATTTTTCAATAATTTTATTTTTCTGCTGTTTTTAAGGGTTCTGAAAATGTCTATAAAATATTTTAAATTCAATTGGAGTAAATACTTTCTGTCGAAAAATTTTCAAAACATGCTAGTTTTTGAAATTCAAACGGTTATTGAAAAAGCTAATTTTTTTAAACTGTATAATTATTCCACTTGAGATTTATTATATGGTTTTATAATGGTTTAAAGTTGTAAGTTCTGAGAATAAAATTGAAATAAAGCAAATATCATAAAAAATTTAAAAATTTTAATTCAAATTTAATGGTGCGTTAACGCACCATTGACCGAATGCATGAGAAATAGGCAAAATTTCAAAACCCACTCTTCATGCAAGATTTCAGAGTTTTATTGTTAAGTGTCAGTGTTATCAAAGTTTTATTGGGCTGAGACCAACAAAATATGCTATTAGGAACAAGCCTTTGAAGTTACTTAGAGTTGTTTCAAAATCTCAGGTGCACAAAATTTATTTTGATAAATTTTCTCTTCCTATAGTTTATTCAAAATTTTAAAAGAAAAGGGTTCTGAAATTTTCGCTGCTGTGGATGAATTTATGAAAGAAATTCCACTGTGTAAAGTGGTATTCAGGTGTTCAGTATTTATGAGACACCCTGTGTATTGTATTACTGTTGTATTATTATATTCGATATAGATTTATTTAATTAGATTAATTCTGTACTGCCTCCTCCAAATGTCATATTATTGATTAAAATGAAAGTAAAAATATTTGTCTTATATTTCTATTCTTTGAAAAGCAATTAAGAATTAATAAGTTTGAAAAAAAGGTCCCCCAACTAAGTATAATTTTATCAAGAGACGTTTTTTTTAAAAAATTAAAATACTAATTGCTTTTATTTTAAAAAAATATGAAAGAGAAAGCAAGACTAAAGACTGGAGTAAAAATAAATAAGTAATATTAATCACTAACATGGTTTAAGATTAGAATACAAACCTGCAAGTTTGCATTTGCGGATATAGAATTTTCTGTTATATTTCATTTTACTTATCATTAAACTTACCAATCAAACAGGATAAATATTAATGCTTTAAAATAATTTTTAAATAAAAATACTAAAAAAATATGCATTAAGTATTTACCAGAGAAAAAATAAAACTATCAGAATCAGGAGTATTAAAAATATAGTTCATTTAATTTATTAATTTTGGTTTGCTTTAGACCTTGTAAAGTTAATGCAGTTTATAGAATTGTGTTAATAATATATTGAAAATCAAACAAAGTATTTACATTGTTTTGATATTTTCTAACACAGAAAAGAATGATAATTGAGAAAAAGCAATTATTAACCCAGCATCAAAAAGACAGGGGAGGCGAGTATCCCCCAACAGCATCTCTAACAGTGTATTATACTATTGCTTATCATAATATATTCTGTTGTTCATACTTCATTAAAGTATACTTTATTAAATGTTCTGTATGTAATAGTTTTTTCAAAAAAAAATTTTCTTTTTTTTTTCTAGGCCTTATATCACGTTTTTATGCAAGATTTCTGGTCACTGGTTGGTGCTGTTATAAGTGCTTCTCTAGTACCAGAACGATGGTTGCCAGGAAAGTTTGATTATGCATTTAACAGCCACAACATAATGCATGTTTTAGTAGTCTTAGGAGGATTACACATGCACTGGGCCATTCAAAAGGATTTCCGGTGGGTTGCCGAAAACCAGTGCCCTAAATAAAGTTTGCCTTATATCTAGCAGAGTTTTAAATTAACATCAGTACTTTTGTCTGATATTTTTCAGGCATAAAATTACATATTAGAATAAATATGCATGAAAAATAACTTCTTAGCTAAAATTTACAAGTTCTTAATTGAAAAATATATTTCAAAATAAGATATTAAATATTAAAAAATTAATAATAGTACTTTTGTCTGATATTTCTCAGGCATAAAATTACATATTATTATAATATACATGAGAAATAACTAGTTAAAATCTATAAGTACTTAATTAGAAGATATATTTAAAAAAAGGTACTTAATATTAAAAAAAAAAATTATCATCAGTGCTTTAGTCTGATATTTTTCACGCATAAAATTACGTATAATAAATATACATGAGGAATAACTACTTAGTAAAAATCTACGAATACTAAATTGGAAGATATATTTTAAAATAAGTTTCTAACATCACAAAATCAACATTAGTACTTGTTTTTTATATTTTTCAGGCATAAAATTACATGTGCATGAGAAATAATTAAAATCAGTAAGCAATATATATTTGAAGATATGTTTGAAAATAAGGTACTTGAATTTTATGGTAAGGTGTTAATTTCTAACTCTGTGTTTCTACTTAATTGCACAAGGAAACTTAAAGGTATTTTAATGTAATCTTGAACTATCACTAGCCCATAATGGATAACAATTCCTTCCATATACACAATGCACATTACATTATTCCTCATGGACATACTATTTTTTATTTTTGTGTGTCTTTAGATATTGATATGTGTTATTGTTTGTCAATAGATATCTTTAGTTATGAAGTGGTTTTGTATGTTTCACCAAAACTATTAAGTAGTTTTGTTGAAAAAAACAGTATTATTTATCTAAGTTTCTAAAAATGAAAGTTTGGGTGAATTAGAATGAATTTAACTGGAAACTTATAATAGTTATTCCTCGATTTACGTAATATATTATACAAACATATTAACATTGTAGAATGAGTAACTAAGATTTTAAAAATGTGTTTAAAAGCATTTCTTTTAGTTTTCTTCCAATAAATAATTCATCTAATTTAATTTAAGCATTACATTTTATTTTGAATTAATGTTCATGAATCTTGAAATAACATTACTATATTCTGTATACAATTCAAGTAAGTAAATATAATATGACAGTTACATTAAAATAAAAAATAATCTGTATTATAGAATGAGTAGCTTTAAAATACAATTTTCATTTTTGCAAGTTCTATAGTTTCTTCAATTTTCATCAATTTCCTTAACTGTGTGTATTTTTATACAGTTTCTGTTACACATATTATTTTGCTATTGTGTTATTAGTTTCTTTGTTAATTGAATGTTTAAGGCTTTTTTTAATCAATATGCTACGTTTTATACCTTTACTATTAATTATTGTTCATTCAATCTTGCAATTTATTATTCTCCATTTGTTATATTTTCTGTGGCATATAGGATGTTTTTAAAAAAGCATAGTGAGTAACAGAAACTAAATAATTTATGCGGTTTAAGTTTAATCTGTTAAAAATTCAAGAAAATATTGAGCCTGCTGTGAATACTCCAGATAAAAATCTTAACTCATTCACCACATCTGCATTTAATTTCATATATTACTATTTTAAATAGATTTTTTAGCATCTAAAATAATTTAATATTCTACATGCTTTTAATTTCTTTGTTGTTTAAAACAGTTAATTCTTAGCTACTTCCATTTTTATAATTTTATTTTTTACAAAACAATTATTATTTAAAAGATAAATGTGGAGTTCCCCTTAAAATATTCAACTTTTATCTTACCTTAAAAAAATTCACAATTATTATACTTATGCATTTCTGTATTAAAATCTGTTGTATTCTCTTGTATTCTTATTTTAATTCTAGTCATTATCTCTTCCATACTCAGCAATGTTATAACCTATCATTTTTTTTTTTAATTCCTTTAGTTATGACTATATAGTTTCTTTTTAGGGACTTTTTTTAATTCAATAGGTTACAATGCATAGTTTATAACTCTGAGGCTCAAAATAAAGTTTTTCCCAAACTCCAGAATTACTTATTGAGTCATTTAAATAATATTAAATTTGAACTAGAATGTAGTACATAATATGTTTTCTTGACATTCTGTATTGTTAAAGGAAGTTTTATGATTGACCATAAAGTTAAAATAATTTTGACCCTAAGTAATTTTCATTTAAAATTAACATTTATGATAATGACTCTATCATATCAACAAGATGCAACTATTATTATAAAGTATTGATATACATATTAACTGTCATATTTTTAAAAAAAAATTATAACGATAACTGTATACTGATATTTTAGTAAAATTCATCTGAAAAAATTTTTATAGCCAATACTTTTTTAAAAAAAATGATTCATTTATGACTAAAAAGTTATTATAAACTGAAAATGTAATCATTGAAACTTTTACTCAACATTGAATTCAATCCTTATGAATATAAGTAATTTACTTGCTAAGTTTTTTGCTCTAAAATTAATTTTGGAAAATAGGCTTTATAATTTAAATTGCAAACTAATTATTATTTTATATTGCGTTTTATTCATAACATTTTGGAAAAAACTAAATATTAAAAAACTTAAATGGAAATAAAATGTAAGCCAAATTTTGCTGAAATTTATAAAATAAAGGTTTTAAGATTTTAAAGAAATGTCCCTTATAAAGCACGTGCTTTTATTTGACAATCATTACTTTTTCTCAATACATAATAATCAAATGTGGTATTAATAAATTAAAAAGTTCTAAAAATATTTAATCTGTATCAATATTTAGATCTTGAAATATTTATAAGCATTTGTACAATCACAGAAAAATTACATGAAATAACTCCTGATTTAAATCCCTTCACTTTCGTCTTGAAAAAATATACTGAATTTTTTTAGCTTTAACTTTCACCATTACTTTCATAAGTAAAATATTCATTGACAATAATAATAGTAAAACTGTTACCTGTATCTTCAAATGAATTTTTTATTATTGTTATAATCATTTAGGACAAATATTTTTTTCTTAAATATTGTGACATTGCTCATACTTGAATTTTTTGACTAACATTGATAACTAGCTAGTATTACTATCTCTTTGATAGATAATAGTTTCATACTGAAAATAGATAGTAGATAATGTCTTGTTGAATATTTTATTTCTAATAACATTTTCCTGAAATTTTACTTTATTTATGTGATAATCTGATAGGGAAAACTTTACCTGTGATGTTTGTGAATGTTGATTGTTTTGCTCTATCTTTATGTATTTATTATATTTATTTAAAAAATGAATGGTAAAAGTATTTATTTATAGTCAGATTTTCATGTTTCATTCATAATTTTTATCTTACAATTTCTAGTCCTTTATGTAGTATAGAACAAAGTTTTGTGTTCTTTTATTGTGACCTTGATTAACCATTTAAAAAGTATGAATGAAGATTTCCTATCAAAAGTAAAATACTCTTAAAAAGTTTCAATACTATTCTGGGGTACCCATAGGGTATCAGAAACCTGGAATTGTCAGGGAATATTTTTTTTTTTTTTAAGCCAAACCCTAGAAAAATCTTGCAATGAACCTGCAAAATAGCCCGTCCTGAAATTCACAGTAACAATAAGTAGTCATTGAGGTTTTAAAAATAATAATAATAAATAAATAAATCTAACATCTAATTTAATAATTTGATGTAAAATTTCTATTACAACACATTTAAATTTTCTTATATTTCTTCAAAATATTTTAACTTAAGCAATTTCTTGTATCAAATCTTTTTCTTAAATATAATATTTTGAATTATGAACTTTAAATATTTAACAATTAACATCAGCTAATTGTATAAGTGCATATAAATGCAAACTAATTAAACATATTTAACAGGCAGACCAAATAAATTATTAAAAGTTAGTTACAAATTATTTGCTAAATTACTTTTCTTTAACTTATTTCTAATTTACTTTAAACCTTTTTGTATTCAAATATAATCAATGCAATTGTAGTCTTCAATATGATTTACTGTACAAGATATTGTTTTTTAAATGTTAAAATGAAATCGGATTTAACTTGACCTTAATTAAGGTCCAAATTGGATCAGCAATAATGAATAAACCTTGTTGCCTTTAAGATATGAGCTGAAACAATAATTACTGATGGTAGTAAAAATACTTTTGTACAGTTACACAAAAATTTTATCTCAAATAGTTAAGGATCACATGAACTAAGTTGTATAAAATATATATGTTTAAACTGAGTATTATGATTTAATTTATGCTACACAGTGTTAAGGTGGAACAGCGAATTCTTTCCACCGGAATTGACATTATTCAAAGTCATTAAATGTACACCGAAACGGTGCTATATCTAGTGGTGTACAAACATTTTTTATTTAACCTCTTTTAGAAAATATACACTATTTTTCCTTTAAAATAGATTCTTTTTCTTTAATTTTATTATATTCTTTATAATTTACAAAGTAGGTTTATGATTTCCTTAAAAAGAAGAAAATATTACAAACAATCAATACTTGATATCTTCAAGGGGGAAAATGACCTTAATATTATGAATTCTGTTAATGGTAATTTTTTTCTCTTTTAGTCTTCTTTTCTATACATGTTATGTAAACTGGTAAATAGGAAAAAAGAGAAATCACAAAAGTGTTTTAGAACAAAATGGAATGAAATAAGTATATTTTATATTTTAACTAGCAGTTTTTTGTTTTCAAAGTGGTTGGTGAATTTAAAACCTTTAAAGTGTAAAAATACAAAGAAATATATTTTACTTTAACTTGAATGTTTTTCATCTAAGTTCTAAAATAATAATGGTATTGAAACTTTTTGTAATTTACCTAAATTTGATTTGGCTTTAAAACAGTAGTATTTATTTAGATAGAAAAAGTTTCCTTTATTGTACGATTGTATTACTCTTTAAAGAAAATTAAATTGAAGATTTTAATCAATTTGTTAATATTTTTGAGATATTTAGAACATATATGTGCCTCTAACTGAACTTTAACTTCCATAAAACTGTATTAATATGTAAAATAATTTTTCTGTAAATATGATATGCCAGTTATAGCCTTGATTGTTGACATAGTTTAATATCGACAAGATAATGAGAACATTAGTATATATTTTTACTCTTTATGTATACATAATTAATCACTTTGACTTCTTTTTATCTTAAACATACTCAGAAATAAATTATTCACTTAAGCAGGATATCAGACTAAAATTAATAGAGGTCATGAATGAAGGTTATATCATACCCCATTTAGTTCAGATAAATTTCATTGTATATGCATTAATTATTAGTATTGCCCAAATAAAATGGGAATGTGTGTAATAGCGTCAGAAACACAGCAGTGCCTCTTTTTGGGAAGAAGTACATCACAAATTGCGTGAAACTGATAATCAATTCGAATGAAAGCTATTCAAGTAAATAAAAAGCCGTGCAAAAGATGGAGGCATCCAAAATAGAATGTTTAAAAGTTAGGTTTTGGCAGAAAATGAAAGTATAATAGACATTACCATTGAAACATGGTTGTTTATGCTAAGCATTGTCTAAGAGAATAATTGCAAACAAATGCCATTAAGTTTTTATAAAAACTGGATATAAATTCCAGAACGAATATAAATGAAGACCAAGACAAATAATTGTTGTTATCTAGACACATCCATCTTTTTTATATGCTCTCTCAAAAGCAGATTAATCAGTAATATGCAAGCATGGTGCATTTAATAAAACTCCTCTTCATTTTTTACCTGAAAGGGGCACTACTCTTTCTACTGTATATCTGATACTATCATATGTGGATTTTTCATTTGAGCAGCCCTTATAAATTGTAAAAATGCAAACAAGCAATATTACTTTATTCCTATAACTTGTCATATAATCTCAGCAAATAAATTATTTGTTATTGTTTATGTAAATTTAATGTTATCTTTACTATTTCTTATGACCCTCTTGTCTTTCATGGAAGCTGTTGTGTTTGTCTGTGGGACCATATAATAATTTTTGAAACTTTTGTATATTTTGTAAATTTAAAAGTGATGCTGTT